GGGGGATGGAGAGGGCAGGGGGGATGGAGAGGGCAGGGGGGATGGAGAGGACTGGGGTAGAGTAATGTCAGAAGTGCAGGGCTGCTGGTCAGCCCCCTCCTGGCAGGGTCCTACCTCCCTGTCACCTAGAGATAGATGGTCGCATGCTATCAAGGAATAAAGTAGACAGTACACCCTAATGGTCAGCACCAAGCCAATCCTAATGTTTTACCCAGTCCTAGCAAAATTAGTTCTTTTTATGCCCAGTACCAATCCAGGGCCTCTCTGGACACTAAATTAACTAACCATGCTGAAGGATGCCCTGTGGCCCCATTCCCGGATGATGAAAGATGGAGAAAATTATTCAGGATCACAGCCCACAGGCTGCTCTCAGAACTGGATGGCCGGAGGCCCAAGCCTGTAGGAGGCCTTGAATGCCAAGCTTAGCTCTAAAAGCCATCGGGGGAGGCAGGAAGGTTCCATGCCCATCATTATCCCACACACCTTCCTGCAGGGAAGCCCCAACACCCGAAGCCAAGATGTCCAGCAAACGAGCCAAGGCCAAGACCACCAAGAAGCGGCCCCAGAGGGCTACATCTAATGTCTTCGCCATGTTTGACCAGTCCCAGATCCAGGAGTTTAAGGAGGCCTTCAACATGATTGACCAGAACCGTGATGGCTTCATTGACAAGGAGGATCTCCACGACATGTTGGCCTCTCTGGGTGAGTGGGACAGCTAGTAAATCTCACTTAAAGAAAAGCACCAGCAGCTACACGAAAATTCATATTGATGGGGAAACTGAGGCTCCCAGAATCAACTAAGCAGGGCTCATAGACGCTCGCAGAGACCAAAGTGGCAATCACGGAGTCTGTGTATATGTTATGGTTGTCAGCTTGGTGTTTTTATGGGACTCATAACAGTGGGAGTAGGGGTGTCTCTGACTCTTGCCTCTTCCTCCTTCTGGGTAGCCTTGTCCCACACTGATATGAGGGTTTGTGCCTAATATTATTACATCTTATTATACCATGTCCAGCCAATACCCCTGGGAGGCCTGCCTTTTTCTCAAGGGAAATGGAGGAGCATTTCTCTCTGGGGGAGAAAGGGGGGAGGTGGGGAGGTGGGTCTGGGGAGTGGGGAGGGGGCAACTGGGAAGGGTGGAGGGAGGGGAAACTGTGGTCAGGATGTATTGTCTGAGAGAAGAATAAATAAAAGAAAAAATAAAAATGGTACTCCCTCAAAAAAAGAAAAAAAGAACATTTTCCTCAACTTAAAAAATAAAAACGGGAGCTGGGCAGTGGTGGCACACACCTTTACTCCCAGCACTCAGGAGACAGAGGCAGGTGCATCTCTGTGAGTTCAAGGCCAGCCTGATATACAGAGAAGTTCCGGACAGCTGGGGCTGTTACATAGAGAAACCGTGTGTCTTGACGAAGGAAGGAAGGAAGGTGGAGGGAGGGAGGAAGGAGGGAAGGAAATAGTAAGCTCTGCAGACATCATCCTAACCTCTTGAGGGTGGCGGGGAGAGACTCAGAAAGAACCAGCAATCTGCCCAAGGTCGTGCAGCAGACCTGTGTTCAGCACGCCCGAGCTGTGCCAACGACTGCCACACTTCAGGACACTGTCTCACCTTCACAATTCTAAAGACACAAGAAGCCGAGGCACAGAGCTAGTTTAAATCCAAGCAAAGGTGACAGCAGCACACACCGATTCAGTCACTTCCGCATCTGAGTTTGGGGACAGACTGCCTGGGTTTGGTTGCTGACACTGCTCCTCACTAGCTGTGTGACTTTGGATAAGCTACCCTGCCTCTCTGTGCCTCAGGTCCTGGCCTGTGGAAAAAGCAGTAAGGATGCTGTTGGCACAGAGGTGAAAATCCACTACTCGAGGCATGTTGGTGGCGCCAGACACAGTGGCGCGGGCCAGGGGGTGACGTCACGCCAGAATGGTGGAGCAGCCAGGGACTTGTGGCATGCCCTCATACCTCAGAAGCAGGCAGGGACAGGTGCTGGATGCCCAGGAGAAGGCAGGAAATCGGCCGCCTAGCACTTGCTTCCCAGCCTACAAAGTTCGCTGTGGGGAGATCACTGGGAATGAGTTACCCAGGCTGGGGACAGAGAGCTAGGGATAGTAGCCCCAATGTCCACCCACCACAGGGAAGAACCCCACGGATGAGTACCTGGAGGGCATGATGAGCGAGGCACCGGGGCCCATCAACTTCACCATGTTCCTCACTATGTTTGGGGAAAAGCTGAATGGCACAGACCCTGAGGACGTAATCCGCAATGCCTTTGCCTGCTTTGACGAGGAGGCCTCAGGTCAGTGCACGCTGGAGACCTGGGCCAGGGAGGGGGCACAAGGTACTCAGTGCCTCCAGGGGTAGGGACCAGGCCAGATATCACTGTCTCCAAGTTCCTAGTGCCACCTCCTGACTGCCCCTGTCGGCCCACGACAAGATGCTTTAAACCTTCCAGGAAGCAAACCATGTCTTGCTGTTTTTTACCCCAGCTTCTGTCACAGCAAATTTTCCTCCTCATGGGGCCACAGTCCAGTCAGACAGTGGACAGTCCCTCTGTGGAACTCTTCCCTCTTCCATATCCTTTTCCCTCAAAGTGACTGGAGACCAGAATAGGGTCTTCTAGCCCATCCCCCGCTGAGGTCTCCAAGGGCTGGGGGGGGGGGGATTGGTGGGTGCAGCCAGAGCCTGCCCTCATCGACCTTGTCATGCTGTGCCCCAGGGTTCATTCATGAGGACCACCTGCGGGAGCTGCTCACCACCATGGGTGACCGATTCACAGACGAGGAGGTGGATGAGATGTACCGGGAGGCGCCCATTGACAAGAAGGGCAACTTCAACTACGTGGAGTTCACCCGCATCCTCAAACACGGCGCCAAGGACAAAGACGACTAGGCTGTTCTTGGCTGCCCCAATGCCCAGACCCTGTCACCGCCCCAACACACACACTCTACCCTCCACAAGGAGTTGGGGTTCCAGCTCCCAGGGCAGGAAATGAGCCATAAGACCCTCAGGGTGAGGCAGGTGTTTCACCATGGCCGCAAGCACTAGAAGGATCTCTTTAAGGAAGGAGGAGGTGAGCCAAGGGTGGGACGGAGGCCCCTGAAGATGGCCGCCCTCAGGCGTGCCCTCTCATTCCTGGGCTGCCCCAAGGAGGGAAGCGGAGGGAAGAGCTCATGTCCTGGTGTTGGACGCTAATTCCCAGCATCCCCACCACAAAGGCGCGCGCGCGCGCGCGCGCACACACACACACACACACACACACACACATTCACCATGTCCTTTGGAGGATGACAGTGGGCACTCACGCTGGTCCACAGGGGGAACTGCCTGGGGATTCAGCCTCTAATACAAGGCTCAGCACTGCCTCCGGTCTGTGTGTGTCTGTGACTAGAGGAAATTAGGGACCATGTCCCATCACATCCTCCCTCCCTCCCTCGCTCCCTCCCTCGCTCCCTCCCTCGCTCCCTCCCTCCCTCCCTCCTAGTGGCTGGCCCCTGCTAGTGGCTGCCCTGATGCACCATGCTACTCTCTGTCCAGGGGAAGGGCTCGGGGTCTGCCAGCCATGTTGTATTGAAGCCTCAGAGGCCCCCAATAAGGAGGCTGGCTCCATGCTCAGCTGAGATCAACCAGAGGAAGGGAAACGGGCATCTGAGAATAGAGGACAGCATGGAGAGACCCAGGGGTTCACCAAACCCCACACAACAGGGATTTTGACCAATGGGAGTCAGAGGTCAGGGTCACAGCCCTCAGGACTAAAGCCTGATTTCCAGGCTACTTCAGTGTTCTGGAGAAGCTTGAAATGAAGGGGCTGTAAGAACAATGAGGAAGAAATGAAGGGGCTCTCAGAACAATGAAGAAGAAATGAAGGGGCTCTCAGAACAATGAAGAAGTAGGTGTCCAGTCAGGGAGTGACTGGTTACCAGCCCCAGCTGCCTCCCTCATCCTGTCCAGTTCCAGGCAGCCGCAGGGCTCACTCTCCACCACAACGCTCATACACACCCCCTATTCCAGCACACACAGCAGGCAGGCTGGGCCCCCACTCCATTTGAATCATGGGGTCACTGACAAGACTCCCTGCAGCGGAAAGTGTGGGGACTACCTGGGCTCACCTATGGGGAGTGGAGGTGGCTTCGCATGCCCCACCCAACCCCAGCAGAGGTCAGGGACAGGTGCTGGATCCAGAGTGATCCATGAGAGGCAAGCCACAGCACCTGGTGAAGGTCTGCACCAAGGGCAGAACACACAGCAGTAAGTGTATCAACCCAGCCTGCTACACTCACTACTGGCCTCAACCCTCCTCTGTGGTAGGAGGCCAGATGCACAAACACTGAGTTCCAAAGTGAGCCCCACAATGTTTTGGTCTGGACTCTGGATGGGACCAGGCCCAGGAAGGTCCAAACCAGCCCCAAATAGTGTCCCAGACTCAGTCCCAGCCTCACCTGCAGCCCTGAGTGGCCCTTGGCCTGGCCCTGGACAACACATCCTCTTGCTAAACCATTGAGGTACCAAAGGCCTACTTTTAGTGCCTTCAGTGTCTAGAAGGCAGGAAGCCAGGCGTGGTGGTTTACACTTATAATCCCAGCAGGCCACAGGCCAATCATCACAAGTTCGAGGTTAGCCTGAACTACAAGTGAGCCCCTGTGTCTGAAAGGAGGGAGGGAGGGCAGAAAGGGGACAGGGTCATCTTAGAGAGACATTTCTCTGGGATTCCACGTCCAGCCTAGACAGGGAGGCCCATGGTTCACAGCTGTCACAGGGCTGAGAGCATGCCAGAAAGAGGGAATGGAGAGGTAAACACTCTGCAGAGGATTACAGCAGGGAAAGCTGGCAACATGCCCACTCCCGGCCCCGGGCCAGGAGGAAGAGGCTCTCTCATTCCACAAACTGATACAAGCAGCTTTTCAGAAAGAAGAAAAAAACAAAAAACACCTAAGCAGCTGATGAAAAGCAGGGGTAAGAGCTCACAGAGGCCAAAAGATAGCCACAAACCCAGGGCCAGCCTGGGTTACAAAGGAAGAGCTTGTGATTAATAAATACAAGTTAGTGAGTTTTATCTTCTCAGGTAACAATTGGAAAAAACAGTGAAACCTTCCCAGAACTAGAACTTCCCAAGTTTTGCACGAACCCCAGAAGCCACAAAGGAAGAGTCAGATGGACATCAGTGCAGGAGACTAACAGACTATACAATCCAAGGACACAGCTGAGGGGAGCGGCTTGCAGCACAGTAAGGAAAGAGCTGAGAGGTGTGGTCTAGCTTCGTACTGATGGCAGCTGGCAGTATTCACAAACTTACTTTATGAACAAGGTCACTGAAATGGAATAATTGTGGCCAAAGTTTAAACATGTTTCATGGCTTTTCCCCAAACTCATTGCAGGCATTAAAACCAAGGCAAAAAAAAAAAAAAAAAAAAAAAAAAAAAAAAAAAAAAAAAGAAAAAAAAGCCAGGCATTGGTGGTGCACGCCTTTAGTCCCAGTACTCCAGAGGCAGAGGTGGATCTCTATGAGTTCGAGGCCAGCCTGGTCTCCAGAGCAAGTGCCAGGTAGGTTCCAAAGCTACACAGAGAAACTCTGTCTCTAAAAAACAAACAAACAACAACAAAAAAGGATTACTTTCTACAAACTTTTTTGAACTTTCACTATGCCTTTAAGTTCTGAAAGAAGCAGATGTTTTGCTCCAGAACAAATTACAATCTACTGAAAAGCATATCCCAAGAAGTTGTTTGTTTCAACCTTTTGTGCAAGGGTAGATAGGGTCTCATGTAGCTCAGGCTAGCCTCAAACTCACTATGTAGTTAAGGTACCACCAAGTGGTGGTAGCACATGGAGGCAGATTTCTGTGAGTTCGAGGCCAGCCTGATCTACAAATCAAGTTCCAGGACAGCCAGGTGTAACAATAAGTCTTTACTCCATCCACCCGAGCCCCGTTGCCACATGGGCACCCAGAATAATACACAGAGTCTTATATTAGTTTACAATGCTGCTAGCGAATTGACTAGAATTTCTTATATTCTAGCTCAGTCTTAATTATCAACCATAATCATAAGACTTATCTTATGGAGAATGCCTTCTGCTGGCGTCCTCTTCCCGGGCTCACATTGCAGCTCAAGAGAGCAGGGGGAAGAGCAAGAGAGGATGATTTCCTTCTTCTCCCTGCTTATATTCTGAGTCTGCCTCCTATGTCACTTCCTGCCTGGATCACAACACTTCTTTACCACATTTCCCAGAATCCTTCTTGACTCCTAGTCCTGCCTAACTTGCTTCTTCATTGGCCAACAATACTTTATTCAACAACCAATAGGATAAACATACCCAGAAGGACATTCCCCATCAGACAGGGCTACTCGGGGAAACCGTATCTCAAAAAGAAAAAAGGAAAAGAATGACCTTGATCCTCCTGCCTTTGCCTCCCAAATGCCAGACCTGTGCTGCTAAGCACGTGCGCACACTAAGGCACACAAGTTCAGGTCAGAACACAATTTCCAGGGTGGGCACTCACCTTCCACCTTGTTGAGGCAGCAGGGTCTCTTGGTTCTGTGCTGCACTGTACAGTCCAGGCTAGCCCCATTTCTTCCAGGCACTGTACAGTCCAGGCTAGCCCCATTTCTTCCAGCCACTTCTGTTTGTGTCTCCCATCACCACATGAATTCTGGAATTACAGAAGCACACCAAATTTTTTGTTGTTGTTTTACTGTGGGTGAAGGACCAGCCCAACTCCATTTTAAGATTAAAAGCCAACTTGTTACAAGATCAAAATAAGTTTTTTCCTGTTTTCTGTAAAGCTTGGCTTTGACCAGGTCTTGATCTGTTTTCTGGAATTTGACATGTTTCACACCCTATACCCTAACCTCCACCATGATAAGATATTCTGTCAAATAATTTTGAGATGTTTTGCCAAGTTCCTGTGTAACCAAAAATCCTTGGAAACCTTCTCGCCTCACATGTTTTTTGTTTGTTTGTTTTTGGAGACAGGGTTTCTCTGTGTAGCTTTGGAGCCTGTCCTGGAACTTGCTCTGTAGACCAGGCTGGCCTCAAACTCACAAAGATGCACCTGCCTCTTCCTCCCAGTGCTGGGATTAAAGGCATGAACCACCACCACCCTGCTAGTTGTATAGTTTTTGGGGCTATATAAACCCCACTTTTTCCTATGTTCAATGCTGTTTTCTCAAACCCTGCTCTAGGGAGATAACCCTGTGTGTCTTAGTTAGGGTTTCTATTGCTGTGAAAAGATACCAGGACCAAGCAATTCTTTTTTTCTTTCAATTAGAAGCAAGATCGTTTTACATGACAATCCCAGTTCCCTTCTCCCACCCATCCTCCCCTACCACCCCCCCCAACTAGAACCCTATCTATCACATATCCTTTCTGCTCCCCCTGGATGGTGAGGCCTCCCATAGGGTGTCATCAGAGTCTATCGTATCCTTTGGGGTAGGGCCTAGGCCCACCCCATGTGTCTTGGCTCAGGGAGTATCCCTCTATGTGGAATGGGCTCCCAAAGTCCACACCTATGCTAGGGATAAGTACTGAACTACTAGAGGTCCCATAGATTTTCCGAGGTCCCCTCACTGAAACCCATGTTCCTGGGGTCTGGATCAGTCCCACGCTGGTATCCCAGCTATCAGTCTGGGGAGCAAGAGTTCCCCGATGTTCAGGTCAGCTGTTTCTGTGGGTTTCACCAGCCTGGCCAAGCAATTCTTATAAGGAAAACATTGATTTGAGGTGACAGCTTATAGTATGGGAGGTTCAGTCAAATATCACAGCAGGAGTGTTGCATGGCAGCATGCAGGCAGATGAGGTGCTGGAGAAACAGCTGAGAACTCCTGCAAGCAACAGAAGTCGACTAACACACTGGGCAGTATCCTGAGCAGAGGAAACCTCAAGGCCTGCCCCCACACTTCCTCCAGCAAGGCCACACCCACTCCAGCAAAGCCTCACCTTCTCATAGTGCCACTCTCTATGAGATTATGGGGGCCAGTTACATTCAAACTACCATACCCTGTCGGATAGAAAATAAAGCTTGCTTATTTTGACTAAAAGAATTTGGGCAATGATCTTTAGTTCATGGGATTAACCATTGGAGGCCCCAGGGAGATCAAGATCCCCATCCAAATTCTGAAGGCAGGCCTTCACTCTGGGACCCCAGGACTGGGATGCTGCCTCAGGAGGAGGTGTGCACCTTGAAGATGTTCCAAGGTTCTGAGGCATGCTTTCAGTTTGGTGGATTGTTAGAGAAAACAGCTGCACTAAAAAGAGACCAGCAAGTGCTTGTCTGAGGAGGCCCCCATCGATATTTCCTTAACGGTGTCTCCTACTACATATGGTACTATTTCTGCTGGGATCCTGAATGGGGTAGGGATGTTCCTGATG